CGATTTGTATTTGATGAACAAAAGAACATTAAATTTTGAAGATACTAATTATTAATCGAACCGTACTGCAAATATGAAAAGCAACATGCTTGTTTAATTTCTATCTACGTCCACGTCTTTGTGACTCGCAGTGAAACCTATTCAATCAAGTAGGCTGTATCTTCTACCCAATCACTGAAATATAACTTTTAAAAGGATCGCAGTAGTGTTGATATATATTTTTAGTAAAATATCATATTTTTTGAGCTGCACTTTTCGAAGAATTTTTTCAACATAAACAATTCTGGATGAAAAAACCCATCGTGGCAAACAAAGTAAAGTTGTCGCGATTCGACGACGCCATAGTTGAAACACAAGCGATGAGAAAAAAAGGAAGAAGAAAAGAATGTACAAATAGCGTCATATTTCGCTTTTTCACCGAAATAAGCCGTCGATCAAGTTATTGTGTAGGTGTCGAATTTTTATAAAGGTGAATTACAAAACAAGGGTGTGGGTGTTCTCTTTGGCTACACCCACATCCACACCCACACCCACATTCGCACCCTCAAATCTTATAAGCATTGAAAGAAAACTATTCTTGTTTTTAGTTTTTACCATTAGTAATCATTATAAACAATAAGTTATTTTCAGTCCTTTATTTATTTTGCGTATTTTCTGAAGTTGTTTCTTTCCATCGTCTCCGATTTCATTCCGTCCGAGGTCCAGTGTGGTTAGTGTCTGTATACAAAGTGTGTGAATGATGAAGTGAAGTAAAGAGTAAGAGAAACAAGTATCATTGTTACTTTGTTGATTTGTAGAGCATTAGCAAGATCTTGTGCTCCTTGAGCACCGATTTCATTGTAATAAAGGTTCAGTGTGGTGAGTGTCTGTGTGAAAAGTATATGAGTGATGAAGTGAAGTGAGGAGAAAGAAGAATAAGTTATTGTTGTTACTTTGTTGAATTGTAGAGCATTGGCGAGAGCTTTTGCTCCTTGATTACCGATTTCATTCCAACTGAGGTTGAGTATAATCAGTGTCTGTGAGAAAAGTGTGTGAATATTGGAGTGAAGTGAAGAGGAAGAAGAACAAGAATTGTTGTTACTTTGTTGGTTTCTAGAGCATTAGCAAGACCTTGTGCTCCTTGAGCACCGATTAGATTGCATTTGAGGTTGAGTGCGGTAAGTGTCTAGATAAAAAGGTTCGTGTTAACGCATAATATAAATACAAAGTGAATGAGAGTTACTGTGTTGTGTTGTAATGTATCACCCAGAGAATGTGCTTTAATATCTCCAATTCGATTCCTCGAGAAATCTAGCGTGGTGAATGTCTACATGAAAAGGGAAGGTGAAGACATGGTACAAATGAAGATACAGAATAGCTGATCGGTATTACATGCGGTCAGAATAGTAAGACTAATGTTGTTCTGACGGGTGTGTTGGGTGTATAGATGCGAATATGAGCTTTTGTATGATTATTTATGCTGCACAGTGTGCAATCATGGTTTGTTAAAATTTAGACTGAAAAGAATTTATCGAGGCTGAACTATCGATAAAAAGTTTTTATTTATGTGTTGTTTTAGTTTGTGAATGCTTGCGAAAGAAGGCAAAATGTTTCGGTTAAAGAAACATAGTTTGTAAGCTACTCCTGGGTGCGGGTGTGGGTGTGAGTCAATCATCTCTCCATCCACCATCACTTATACTCACATTCGTGCATGCTCTGAAAGGAGCATTTATCGAAAGTATTTCTCATGGAAATATCGAGGACGTTATTTATAAGAAGATACACTTGTTTATTGGCATTTAATTCCTTTCAAAAGTTGATTTTTATTATGAAAATAGTATTTAATAAAAAGGTGCTAAATATATGTAAAAAGCTAATAACAATGTTTTCTTCTTTTTTTTCGTTCTTATCTAAGCATTGTATATTTATCATATCATACTTATTTTGGAAGGTGGAGGGTTGAATTGAGATAGAAAAAAAAGAAAAAAAAGAATTTTTGGGGAGAAATTAATAGCTGATGAATTGTTTTTAGTGGCAAATAGTTTGTTTATATATATTTTATCTAAGTCATGCTACTTAATTAGAGATTGTAAGAATGAAAATAGTTCGAAAGTCGATAGATAAAAATGAGATTGACATAATAGAAAACAGTTTACCTGATATCGATCGTAGCTGTCTACAATTCTGTTGATTCGTTGACATACATTTCGCATTGAACAGAGAATGGTGAAATCCGATTGATGATCTAAAATTCGGTAGACAAGTTCTACCGGTAACGTAAGGAAGTTAACGACAGTTTGGCTTGTCATTGTTAATTTTTGATGAATTGTGTTTTGTAGACTTATATGTCAGTTGCATATATATTTTTTTCTATCTTATCATTAAATAACTGAATATTTGTTTTGTTTCATAGATTTCCGATGGTGTTGTAATTACTTGTTGGGAGAAAAAAATTAAAAAGAATAATATCAACTAGAAAATGACAGAATCGAGATAAGAACTGTAAGCAACGTTTTTGTTAACATTGTCTTATCGATATACAATGTTATATAATAGACATGAATAGTATATTCTCGATTAAAATCAGTAAAGGGTAAATGAATTTCGTTGTTATTTATTTTTGTTTAAAATCTATATTGTCATTTGATTGTAGAATTCTATATACATATTTTATAAGATGGAACAAAATCTGCTCTCATGATACAGAGTTAGACGTATGAATTGGAGGAGAAAAGATCGTTACTTTCATGGTTAACGAATTTTACTATAATCTGATGTGTTGTTGGACAGATTTGTCTGAAATATTGAAAATATTTTGTTCCATATATTGAACTTTTTTCAGATTATTTTTCTTTTTATTATCCCAAACAAACAAGAAAAGCTTTAATAAGCATATTTTATTATTACAAAAAAGAGTCAGTAAAATTTGATTTTTTGATAAAAGTTATTTATTGTGCATTTCTTCCACTATATACTTATGTTTCATTTCATTTTCAGTCACTTCTATGACGAATATTATAGAAAATGATGTACAACGCAATTCTGCTTTATCAGTTTTATTTGTGTAGCTGACAGATTAACGATCATAATGTTTTTTTTCATTCATTTATTTTAAATCTACTCTTTTCGACGGCATTGTGTAGCATTTCATACTTTGTTATTAAGTAAAAACAAAAAAAACTTTTAAAGAACGAGAAATAACAACTAATTTAAACAGTTTTCTTTGTGCTCCATAGATTAGATCATCGAAATAAAGGAAAATAAGTGTTTTATGTTTGAACAGCAATATTTTGTCAATTTTTATAAATCATAACGTCCAACAACATCGAACATGAGAGCAGAAAAAAATTCCTTGGAGATTCTTTTCTTTTCATCAAAAAAAATACGTAATAAAATTTCTTTTCATGGATTATTTTAGTAACTGACAATCGTAAAAATATTTAATCATCTCTTTCTCGTTCTCTATTTGTTACTAAGGAATGCTTGTGTTCATGTTTGTTTGTTTTTCACAACAACATATACTATAGTTAATAAAAAAGGCTTTGTTGTCCAAGTCAAAAAAATAGAAAAAAGACTAAAGGTGGGTGTGGAGGAGGGTAAGACGATAAAATACTACCGACCCACATCCACACGTGCACCCGCCTTCAAAATGCAATTGAGCAGGGGTGTGCAAAGAGTATACAACCACCAACCTTCATCCTTGACGCCACAGAATACTATTGAAACTCAATAAATAAATGACTTCACCTTTGCAATATTATTGCGAATATATGATGTAATACCAGAAAGATCCAGAACACAAACTAAGAGAAGCTATGTTCGATACTCCATTGTAGTATAAATTACAAAGCCAAAATTTTCAGTTAATAATAAAAATAAAATTTTGCAGAAGCTCACACATATTAGCCATTGTCATCAGTTGCATATTGTAATAGTAAAGTCTGTGGTGTGGATGTGAGGTCGTTTTCTTTCATTGTCCACCCACACCCACATCCTCAAATTTTCTTAAGTTTTTTTCTTTCTCGGTCAAGTCCTGATCGAAGTTCATTTTATTCATTATTTATCATAGTGTTATCGTAATACTTACAAACAATAATCAATAGTAATTAAATTATCATTTTTCTACCTGAAAAACAAATATACAGAATAATTAACTTTTCTTTTGTAAGATCCTTGATTTCATACAATAGAATATTTGTATTATTATTGTTTATACGTATGTACTTAATAAGACGTACCTGTCAACGTTTCAAAGAATATATTGTAATTACATAATTGTGTAAATTCTATTTGAACTTGAATGAATGATAGTCTAATGAATTTATAGGCGGTAAGAGATATTAATTTTCAAAGATTACCTATAGCGGAAGTATAGTCTGTTATTAGTGTATTAGTTTTATAATACTTTTTCTGAGAACTCTCTAGAAAGAAAAGGTTCATGTTTAGCGTTCATCTGCTGATCGAAATCTGTAGATTTCAATAGATTCTTTTTTATATTTCTTAACGTTTAATCGTAGAATAAATCATAACATATCTGATTAAGACATTTATTTAACGAAACAAGAATTTTTCAATAAATCAAATTTCTTTTTGACAATAGCCCAAATATAAAGAATAGATGTTAATTTTTTTAACATCAGTTTCGAGGTATATTTCATCCTCTCTTGTATTTTTTTAAAGTTAAATAGAAGTATTATACTTGCATTTGACATTCTCTAATCAACGTTTGTTTCATTTAGGTTCTTTTTCATAGCAGACAATGCTGTCACAAACAAGGAATAGTTTTTTATGACTTTGACAGAAGTGCATAAGAACCTTTTTTATAATAATGTACTATCTTATCTTTGAAGTAAAAATGACGAAATTAAAAATAAATACCAATGGAAATATAGTAGAATATTCCGCTCTTATTTTAATATACGTAAGTGTTCATTCTCCTCTCATTTCATCACTATTATAATGAATTATTCTATATAGAAACATATCTGAAGTCAGTAGTAGAGAATAAAATTATTTAAACAATGATTCAACTTGATATAATTTCTCATCAACTAACAATAATCATTGGTATTATTATGTTTATATTTGGTTTAATTGGAAATATTTTAAATATTTGTATTTTTACTAACTGGTCTCGTTCTCGGCGAACAACAATTAATAATAATAATAATAATCGAACTAATAATAGTTCGTTATATTTACTTGTTTCTTCAATAGCAAATTTAATTCTTATAATTTATGCATTACCTACTCGAATTTTATTCGATGGATATCAATATCAAGTTACACAACGAGATGTATTTATTCTCTGTAAATTCCGATATTATGTCATGCATACATGTGATATTATCTCTTTGACATGTGTTTGTATGGCAACATTTGATCGATATTTAATATCATCACGAAATGTTCGTTTAAGACATATGAGTACAACAAGACAAGGAACAAAATTTATTATTTTCCTAATTATTTTTATACTTGGATTACATAGTATACCACTCATTATTTATTATAATGTATCAACTACTGGTCAATGTATTATTTATTTTTCTATTTATTTAAGTTATTATCGATATACATTTCAAATATTTTTTCATGGTATAATTCCAATAATATTCTTTTCTTTATTTTCTTTTCTAACATTTAAACAATTAAAAACACTAACAACTAAAAAAACTACTAATAATAATATAAATATTGATAAACAGTTATCACGTATGCTGTTCTTAATGTCAATAACGATTGTATTATCATGTATTCCATATTCTGTCGAAAGTATTTATTATTTAATATTTGCGGATAGTAGTCAAAAACAAACATCATATATATTATTATTTCATATTATATCTTCACTTTTATTTTATACAAATCCTGTATGTAGTTTTTATGTTTATTATATTTCGACATCAAACTTTCGTAGTCAAACACGAAAAATTATTTTATGTAAAAAAGATTTCAATCATTTTATGAACAATCAAATAAGGCCAATAACAATTTCAAATAATTTACAACAATAAATTTCTTTGTTTTTAATTGTTTTATTTATAAAAGTAAACTTGATTTAATATGAAGAAGCATGCGTTCATTAAGATAAAAGATAATAAGAAGTCTACTATTTTCTTGAGAGTGTGGGTGTAGTTATAAGATGCAGATAATCTCTTAGATCCATACCGACCCTCAAGATACAGAGCAAAGTGAGATATTATTTTTTTAGCTAGTTTACGCTGTGATAAATCATTACCATCTTTATAATCATCCATTAATTGTATTTTTTCTTGCAAAGTAAGCTCCTGCTGTGTTGTCATTCTTCATTTAACATTTCCAGTAATTGGACATTCAAAAAATGCACTTAGTTCAAGTCCAAAAGAGATAAATTATAGAAAAAAAGAACTATGTTCACA